TGGCCAGTGTAGACAGCTTGCCAGTCTAGACACAGCCCTGGAGTTCCTTTTAGGCTTTTCAGAGTTTAATGTTTATTTTTATATAATTTTGCTGGATAATATCAATGATCATTTTAAGGGTTTTTTAGTGTATTAATTTAAATTGTCATAGGTGTGGGCAATTATGGGGGCAGACGTTATCCAATGATTATTTCATGGCAGTAGATTTTGACATCCAAAACAATAAAGCAGTATGCCATTAAAACCCAACTTGTCAGTATCCCACAACAAAATATACAAAGTATAGATCCTTAAATCACACTCGACTATGTGCTCAAGCAGCATTTTTGTTATTTTGCTTGTCTGAAAGTTTTGATCATTTCTGGTGGAAATATTTTTTCACACAGGTGAAATTGACATTTATTGACAATTGCTAATAAAAGTCTGATCCTTCTGAAGTCTAATTTTGCTACACAGGATGCAAACTTTCTAAGGCCCATAACTCGTCATGTATCAGGGCATAAACCACTCACTGACAGCGAGCCTTTTTGTAGCTAAACCGAAAGTATTTAAATACACAGTTCACTTGTCCCTGTTTGCACTCTTTCTTTGAGTTCCGACTTTCTCCGCAGGACCAATAGAAGTGATTGAGGTCAGTCCCATTTTGTTGCACAGTGGTACGGTGAGGTTTGGTTTGTGGGGAAAGGTCTGTAGGAAGAAGGAGGGGGAGTGGAAGATATTTTGCAAGTGCTGGGCTGCAGTGGGCTTGGCAAAGGCCTTGGGCACAGCAATCAGTGCCACAGGAGAGGCATTTGGTATGGATCCTCGGGAAGGTGAAGCTGGCACTAGAGGAGGAGAGGATGGTCAAAGAAGGGCGGTGTGGGGGGTGGGAGGTGTCAGTGGGCTTGGCAAAGGCCTTGGGCACAGCAATCAGTGCCACAGGAGAGGCATTTGGTATGGATCCTCGGGAAGGTGAAGCTGGCACTAGAGGAGGAGAGGATGGTCAAAGAAGGGCGGTGTGGGGGGTGGGA